CACTTAGGCAAAGTGGCCTGTTTATTCTCCTTAGGGTTTTCCTTTAAAGGGGGTGGGGGTGGGGGAGGCGGGGAGTGAGCATGTGCAGAAATCCATCACCTTGCTTTCTAGTTTCCAGGCAACTGTGCAGGATTACAACACGTCACATGATACCCCTGCTGTCCCAGAGGAGGGGGAAATGGGAAATGGTGCTAGCTCCAGTAAGGGGCTGAGCATCAGTGAGGGACTTTGGGGTTTCCTCTAGAAACAGGATCAACCAGGAGTCAAAGATGCTGAAGCTACAGGCCGTCCCCGCTTCTCAGCACTGCGCGCTGGATAGCAAATCATCCCAGATATGAAGGGGGAAGGGAGGGAGGCCGGCCAGGGATGAAGTGTGTGGGTGGGTGGGTGTGGCAGCCATTGGTGCGAGGTGACTGGACACCTGTTCTGGAAGCCAGGCTCTCAGAGGGACTGTTCCTGAGGAGATCCCAAAGGAAACCGACCCCCACCTCCAGCCCCTCCTTCCTGCTGCTGGGGCTAGAGGGGAATTCGGCTGAGGAAAGGGTTAGTGTTGATCCTGTGATGTTGAGGGCTGGGGGGCGGGTGGGGCGGGGAAGGGGAGGAGAACCACCCATGATGCCTCCGTTCCCACTTCTCCTTTTGAACCCCCTCCTTTCTGCAGGCTGTTGATTTTGATTGTGGTGTTTTGATAGTTCGACTTCCCCTCCCCCACAGTGTGTGTGTGTGTGTGTGTGTGTGTGTGTGTGTGTGTGCTCGTGCTGTTGTCTACACTGTATATGCTTCTATGGCAATTCATTCCGTTCTCCTCTGTATACACTTTTGTTCCTGTAATAACACCCTCTGTGGCGTAAGACTCCCTGGAACCACAGGTTCTAACCCAAAGGACCACTTTGCTCACCACTCCCCTGAAGTTCGGTGGGCACAGGTCCCAGACACCAGCTCTGAGCTCACTGGGCGGGCAGGCCACAGGGCAGGAGCCAGTCACCCTTGGGGATTCCAGGAGGCAGGGCTGACGTGAGACTGGCACCCAGCCTCTGCACTCCCAACATTTGTCCTCACCAGGAGTCATGGAGCCTGACGCGGCTGTCATATGGCCTACAGCCATATTCAGGAGAAAAAAGACCTCAAATTCAACTATATTTTAGAGCGATCCTTTTATTAAGTTTATGAAGTCTTAAATAGGACAGAAACCAAATGAAGACAAAAAGGAATCATCCAGACGAAGGAGACCATCAGCATGAGGCCTTAGTGGTGTCTAAGGTCTCCCAACCGGAGCCTCCTGAGGCGCAAACTCACCGCTCTTGACCCCCTCACTGCGGCGTCTCCGAGCAAGAGCATGCTCCTAGGAATCAAGGAATCAAGAGCCGTGTTATAGTGGGTCAGTCTGCTGCACAAGACCTCTTCAAGGGTATTGAAAAGCAAGAATGCTACTTTGAGACTAAGGTGATCCTGACACAAGCCACATGGTATTCTCCGTTGCCTCACAGGCATGTGAAAGTTGGACACTGAATAAAGAAGACCAATCGGTGCATTTTCACTGTGGCGCCGGAGCAGAATGTTGAAAGTACCAGGGACCGCTAAAAGGACAAACCGATCTGTCTTGGAGACATGCGGCCACTGGACTCCTCAGAGGCAAGGATGGTGAGACATCATCTTACATATTTTGAATGCGTTCCCAGGAGAAGGATATCATGTGAGGTAGGTTAGTGGGGCAGTGAGGAAGAGGAAGGCCCTCAAGGAGACAGACGGACACCGTAGCTGTCACTCCAACAATGGGTTGAGACATATAAATAATTGTGAGGATGTGCAGGGCCCGGCGGGCATCCTATGGTAGGTCTCCATGGGTAGGAAATGACTCACTGCCACTGAGCTGGTTCGGACTCAAGAAAACCCTCCAGGGAAGAGAAGAACTATTCCTTGGTGAGTTTCCAAGGTTGTAATTCTTTAGGGGAACAGAAAGAGAGCCTGGCTGGTGGGTTTGAATCGCTAGGGATTTGGTTAGCACCTTGATGGGTAGCCCACTGCCACAAGAGCTCCTGGCTTTGTACAGGGCATGGAAAGCAAAGGAAATTGTCACGCAATCATGACGGGGGACAGGTCAATTCCTCAAGGTCCCAGGTCCCTCTCTTTCACTGCCAAGGCAAGCAGTTGGAAACTACCAGCCTCTCCGAGAAAGATAGGCTTTCTGCTCACATCTGTTCCAGCCTCAGAAACTCACAGGCTCGGTCCACCCTGCCCTATAGACTCGCTATGAGTCGGCGTGGACTCACTGGTGGTGAGTTGGGTTTTGCTCAAGAGTTGAAGCTTGTGGTTCGCTTCCCAGACAGCGCCATGAAGGCCCCTTGCCCTAAATAGCCGGAGAGAGGAGCGGCTAGCATGAGCCTGGTGGTTTTTGAAGGGTCAGGGCTTGAAGGTTTGGAAGGGTTACCCGGGTTAGGTTTTGAAGGTGCTTGAGGGACACAAGCAGTGTGCGATCGGATGCTAATGAAATGGTTGGCAGTTCTAGCGCACCCAGCAGTGCAGTGGAAGAAAGGCCCTCTGGATCCCTTTCTGTAAAGAGTGAAAACCCCAAGGGGCTGTTCTACTCTGGAGCATATCGGGGTTGTCGTGAGTTGACATCCACACCAAGAGAGTTGGTTTGTTTGGGGTTAGACTTTAAATGAAACAAACAAGAAAGGAAAAAAAAAAAGAATGGAGTTGGAGAGCCAATTCTTGCTTGGCTCTGATGAGGCTAAAGGCTCTGCCCCAAATTTCTAGAGAAATCTTTTTAAGAAGAAGGAAAATTAACAATCGGGTCATCAAATAAGAGATCGTTCTGTAGCAATAGATGAATGAATAACGAATGTTCTGAGTGCTATGGTATATTTCCTTAGCATTGTAAACGAGAAAGTTGTGTCCCATATACATTATTGGGGAAGGTGGCAGAGGGGTAAGATGCTTCTAAGATATTAAAACTGAGTGTCTGGGGTGGGGAGAGGCCAGGCGGGGCGGGGGTGAGGGGGCGTGCGGGGAAGGTGTCTGTTTAATACTCATCTTATGGGAAGACAGGTGCTCTGGTGGCGCATACTGGTGATGCTAGGACTGTGATCTGGCCAACAGTTTGAAACCAGCAGCCGCTCCATGGGAGAAGGCACAACTAGGAGTTGGCCGTGCCCGGATGGCAGTTTTTTTTTTTAATCGTTTTATTAGGGGCTCATAAGACTCTTATCACAATCCATCCATCCATCCATCAATTGTGTAAAGCACATTTGTATATTCATTGCCCTCCTCATTCTCAAAACGGCCTTCAGTTTTTAAGGGCGGATGGAGGACGTTAGGAAGAAGGTGGCGGCTGTGCAGCTGCGCAGAGAGGGTGACTACGTGCACTATGAGGGTCCCCAGGGGCCAAGCACGGTTGGGAGTTGGGATGAAATCTTGGGAGAACCCAGGAATGGTTCCTAAGGAGGCGTCAGGGAGCGTCTTCAGCATTTAGGCCTGTGCTGGGTGACTCACGTGCTGATCTTCACCCATGCGCGCACCTCAGCCTGTATTTACCCAAACTCAGATCCCGCGCACATGCACGCCCACGCCCACGCGCCTGCGCCCCCGGATGCTCTAAGACACTTGGCCAGTTGATCCCTTTACAATAAGGTGACCAGATTTAAAGCGGGGTGGGGTGGGGGGTGTTCTTGATTAAAAATTTGGTCTATGTGAACCAAATAGACCGTTCCCTAGTTTGTCGTGCATTCTTTAAAAAAAAAAAATCGGGACTTTTTTAAAACGTCAAAAATCCGGACAGTCCCGCCAAAAGCGGGACGTCTGGTCACCTTACTTTACGAGGACCTCCAAACCCATATTTCCAGAGAAACTTTAGTGGGGTAGAAAAGCGTTTGATGATAGAGCGAGCAAAAAATAAAAATCTGCTTGCTTGCAGTTCTAGCGATGGCCAGAATGCTACAATAAACTGTTGCATTCCACAGCTGGGGTGGGGGTGGGGGGGGAGGCAAGTGGGGAGAGGAGGGGAGAGCAAAGAGACCGACTGGAGAACTCGGAGGGCGAAAGCAGAAACTCCAGCGGCGAAAGCCACCGGGCCCGCGGGGGCCTGGCCAGGGGCGGAGGAGGCGGGGAAGGGTTAACTCCGGAGCGGAGGGTGCGACGGGGGCGGGCCTGGCGCGGGCGCTGGCCCTTTAAGACGGGCGGCGCGGGCCGGCCGAGCGCGGCCGGGATTGGCGCGGCGGGATCACTGGCTTGAGCTGCCCGGCCCGGGGGAGTCGGCTGGAGAAGGCTGCGCTTTGATAAGGTCCTGGCAACTCAGTAACAACCCGAGCGCCTGGAATTAAAAATACTCCCCACTAGCCATGGATCCGGGGGCCGCACGGCATCCCAGCCGCCCACCTCCTCCGCCGAAAGTCCTGGTGTAAAAGGTGGGGGTGAAGATCTGGGCCCCGAAGAGCCTCTGCCCAGGGAGCTCCCCACTTGGCCCGTGGGCGAGGTCGTGCCCGACCCCGTCGTGGGCGTAGGGGGGGCGCAAAGGGCCCGGTGGGACTGAGACCGGGCTGGGCAGGGAGCCGCAGGCCGGGTGACCCAGAGGAGGAGCGTCAGGGGCACGGGAGGGCGGCCCGGGGCACGGCGGCGCGTACCTCCCTTTCAGGACCGTGCGCTCGGCTCGCGCCTTTGAAGTGCACAGTTAAATCCACAGCGCAGTTTTTGTTGGAAGCGCCCGGAGGACATTTGGTGCGCCGAGTGACTGCTGGAAACAGGACCTGTGTGAAAAGCCGGCGGGGCGGGGGCGGCGGGGCCAGGGGCGGCCGCGGCGGGGGCGGAGGCCCGGGAGGGCCTTTTGCATAAAAGGGGCGGCGGGGCGCACCGCCCGACCCTCCCAGGCCGGTGGATTGCGCTCTAATCCGGAGCTGGTGGTTCCACCGCCCCCTCCTCGCTGCGCGACTCCCCATGCTCCCCGCCGCCGGGGCCGGCCCGCGGGGGCCCGGGGCTGCCGCCGCCGCGACCCGAGCCGGGGGCCGGGGCCCAGCCCTGGGCGCCAGCGAGCTCTCGCCCTGGAGCGCGCGCGCCGAGCAATGGTGAGTGCCTGGCAGCGTCGGCGGGGCGGCCTGAGCGCTTTGATGTGCCGGGCGGCCCTTTGAAGTTCCGGAGAGCTATTTCAGGGCGCGCTCGCTGCCCACTGGCCCGGGAGCAGGGGGCCGGGTGCCTAGCGTCCTGAGGGCTCGGCCCGGCCGCTCGGAGCCGAAGCCCCCTCGCCAGCGTGGGCTTGGGTGGCGGGGGGCCTGGCCGGGATACTTGGCCGAGTGAAGGCGGGGGCGGAGAGGGGCAGGTCCCCCCCCCGGGGTCGCGTCGCTGCAGCCGTCCGGGATAGATGGGCGTCGGAGTCTGAATGTACGCGGGAATGCTTTGGGGAGGTGGGATGAAAGGGTGGTGCCCCCCCCAGCCCCCCAACAGACACACCAGCTTTTATCCCCACCCAGCTCACCTCCTTACGTGCCTCCTCCTCTCGCCCCTCCCTGCGCTAAGGGGCCTGGAGCGCTGGCCGCAGCTCAGTCTGCCTACGGGACCGGCCCGAGCCCCGGTGCCCGTGTCCCTCCTTCCCGCTCGGGCCCCGCGCCCCGGGCCGCCTCGGCCCCCTTTGCAGAGAGGCCGCGACTTTGCGCGTCGCCATTTCTGGACTTGGCGGCTGCTTTCGGAGCCTTTTCTGTTGGGAGCCTCTGCGGGTGCGGAGCCGCTGACAGACGCTCTGGGGCTCGGGGGCTCTGCTCGCTTCCCCGGGGGTTCTGGGTCTGCGCCCGACGGCCGTTTCGGCCGGGCTTTGGATGCCTTTGCTTTGCTTTGGGCTGGGAGACCCGTGCCCAGCGGCTTGGCAGAGATGAGAGCCCGGCCCTGGGCCGCCTTCGTCTGCCAGGTAACGGGGCCGCCCCACCTCCCCTCTGCCTGCGTACCGCGGGGGGGGCTATTTTTGGGCCCCTCCACTCTGCCCTCCGCGGTGCCCAGCAGAGGCCCCCGGCGGGGGCTGCGCGCACCCACCCACCCCGGGCTCCGGGCCCCGGAGCCGCGCTCCATCCCCGGCCCGCCCTTGCCCTCCTTAGGTTGGATCCTTCGCGTGCGTAGGGAAAGCGGCTTGTTTATTGGTTAGATAAGACTTAGAGAGAGAGGAGAGAATAGACACGACTGAGATCAGTAGAGTTTGGGATCTGATTCTTGGCACCGACAGTGGTAGCGTGAGATGATTTCTGATCCGGTTTTGCCGGGTTCGCTCAGGGAGGTGGGCTGGGTGGGGGGTGGGAGGCCGCGGTTCTCGCTGCTTCTCAGTTCTCTGGCAAAGTTTTGAAGATCAAAGGCTCGGCTGAGTGAGTTGGGTTTTGGTTTGGGGGAGTGAGGGAGACCGAGGTGGAGGCGTGCAGACTGAGCCAGATTCTTGGCGGGGACTGGAAGGGGGGAGGGGGGTGCGCAGCGGGCATTTACATCTGGGATGGGGTAGGGGGGCGGGTTGCCTGCAGCATCTGGGTTGGGGTGGGGGCGTTTGCCTGCTGGTTCAGGGCGCCCATTCCGCCCTGCGCGGTGCGGACTGCTCTCGGGCGCGGATCTTCTGAATTTTTAAGGAGTGTGGAAGGGGGAGCGCAGAAGGAAGGGGGTGGATGGGGGAATGGGAACCAGATGCGGAGGAAGGGCACGTTTGGAGCGCGAGTTATCTGTGTGGAGAGCCGAGCTGGGAAATGTACCGAAATTGGTCTCACCTGTACCCAGCCGCGCGCCTCCGAGTGGTCTTCTGGCGTTGATGCTATCCTGGAAGGGGGTGGGGAGCGGTGCGGCTCGGCCTCTGTGGTTGGAGGCGCTGAGCGGGTTTGAGGATGGTTAAGTCTTCCACACTCCCCTTGAATCTACCCCTCACCCCCCGCCCCCCCCCAAAAAAAGTCCTGGGAGTTCAGATTTCACCTTTGAAATAAGCGTCTAATACTTGGGATGCGCACCTCACAGATAGCTGGGTTGCTTGATTTGAATGTGAGGAGTTGAAAAGCCTGTTTACTTTCTTGCTTTGATGTTGGGTAGATCTGGTTTTGATTAGATCAATACCCTTTTCTCTCTTTCCACCTCCCCCCCTTCCTTTTCTTTCCAGAGAGGAGGCGCAGATGAGCCCCTGCTGACTTGAGAGAGAGAGAGAGAGAAAGAGAGACCACGCTGGTTGCCGAGAGGAACTGGAAGAAAGAAAAAAGCCCCAAACTGCGTGCGGAGGAAGAACTCCGCCATGAGCAGCGCTGTGCTGGTGCCTCGCCTCCCGGATCCCAGCAGTAGCTTCCGTGAGGATGCCCCGAGGCCCCCTGTCCCAGGGGAAGAAGGGGACACCCCGCCGTGCCAGGCTGGCCTGGGCAAGGGCCCTGTCACCAAACCCATGCCTGTGTCCTCCAGCGCCCGGCGGAACGAGGATGGGCTGGGAGAGCCCGAGGGGCGGGCCTCCCCAGAGTCTCCCCTGACGAGGTGGACTAAGTCGTTGCTCTGCTTGTTGGGCGATCAAGATGGGGCTTATCTCTTCCGGATTTTCTTGGAGAGGGAGAAATGTGTGGATACTTTAGACTTCTGGTTTGCCTGCAATGGATTTCGGTTGATGAACCTGAAGGATACCAAAACTTTACGAGTAGCCAAAGCGATCTACAAAAGGTACATCGAGAACAACAGCATTGTCTCCAAGCAGTTGAAACCAGCCACCAAGACCTACATACGCGATGGCATCAAGAAGCAGCAAATTGATTCCATCATGTTCGACCAGGCCCAGACCGAGATCCAGTCGGTGATGGAGGAGAATGCCTACCAGATGTTTTTGACTTCTGATATATACCTCGAATACGTGAGGAGTGGGGGAGAAAACCCAGCCTACATGAGCAGCGGGGGCTTGGGAAGCCTGAAGCTGGTGTGTGGCTACCTCCCCACCTTGAATGAAGAAGAGGAGTGGACTTGTGCCGACTTCAAATGCAAGCTCTCGCCCACGGTGGTTGGCTTGTCCAGCAGAACCCTGAGGGCCACGGCCAACATGAGGTCTATGGAGACGGTGGAGAGCGGATACAGGTGAGGCTTGGGCAGAGGCTTGGGGTTGGGGGATGGGTGGGTTGGAGGAGGAACCTGACGAGGGGCTTGGCAGATGTTTCCAGTTAAGTAGGGTAGATGGATGGATGGATGGATGGATGTGCTGCTGTGAGACTGACTGACAACAGGTCTCTGGGGAGCTAGGACCCCTGCCCTTGAACCCTTTGATCTTGCTTTGGGCTGTTTAAAGGGGCTGTTGAAAGCGATACCCCCAACAGGGGAGATACCAGCCCCGACTTCAAACAGTGACGAGCAGTGTTCATTAATGCGGGTTACTTATTATCCCTGGACGGAGTCTTCCAAGAGGTTGAAAGCAATAGAGGACAGTGGCTTTTGATGCTTCTGAGTCACCAGCTGAACTTCAGGCCTGGTTCTGGAGGGGGTCCTGTCACCCCTCCGCAGCAGAGAAGGGGAACATTAACGTGGCCTGAGAGGCAGCTGAGCTGTGGTGGAGGTGCCAGAAGGGATGTGGGCACCCATTGAGTGGAGGGGTAAGTGGGTTGCGTGTGTGTGTCTATGTCTGGAGCCAGCGACTGGCTTCACAGCCAAGCCAGTGATTCTTGTAGAATTAGACACTTGGCCACAAAGAAAAAGCATCTATGAGGGACGGTCCCATGGCTTTTGGGGGTGAAGGGCACTTAGCTTTCTATTCTGGTGTTGTCTCCATTCTGTTTTTTAGATGCGTGGGAGTCCAAGGGTCAGCCCACTGTTGATTATTGGGTTGCTTAGTGCTGATGGAGAGAAGAGATCTTGGCCCAGAGAACTGAGGCTCTGGAAAACTTTCTCTTTCGTAGGCATCACAGACAAACAGCCTTTTACAGGATGGCCAAGTCTTAAGGTTCTTGACCTTTGGAAGCAAGAACTTTAAGCTCCAGCTTAAGCTGTTTCAGCTCCAGCTCGACGGAGCCTTTCCCTCCCCTTCCAAAGATCCCCAAGTAGAATGAGCCTTTTAACTCTAGGTTGTGGCTGATGATGGCAGGAGGAGGAGTGGGCGAGTAGTTGGCTATCTGGATGGCGTAGCCAACTCATTCTTGTCCGAGGAACCTAGGAGTCCACTGGGCCGTGGCCTCTGCTGTGGCTCCGCGGTTAGCAGGCAGGAAGACACCCTTTTGGGGTAGCTAGCCGGAGCCTATAGCTGCCCACGACTTAAGGGTTGACTAGGAGGCCTGGGGGCACTGCTGGGTAAGTGTTGGAGTGTTAAACCCACCTCTGGAGAAAGATGAGGCTTTCTGTTCCTATAAAGATGTATAGCCTATGTAGGCTCACTAGGAGTCCAAGCTGACCTAATGGCAGTGTGGTTTCGGGTTCAGATGACTACTGTTGGGGTGGGGACAGGGTTTGTTCTACAACCACCAGGGGGCGCCCTTACAACCTTGGGAGCCCACCTCAGTGGAAATGGGTTGGCTTTTGCAAGGAAGCTTTGGATCTCTGGAGGAAGTTGTAACAGCCTCTTTGCGTTTATGGTTTCTGATTGTTTTGGAGGAAGGGACCAGGTCAGCTCTCAGGAAGCAATGTTTCTGGGGCCGACTGGGTACTCACTAGGCACCTGCCAGCTACAACCCCCCTCTTTCTATTGTGTGGGCATTAGGGCAGACCCAGGGCTAGCCTCCCTGCCCTCTAGCTTGGCAGCTGGAACAGAGGCTCCTTAGGCTTGAGGTAAGGCAGCTTCCCTAGAGCCCTTCGGACAGTGGGGCAACACCTTAGTAAACAAAACAGCCCAGCTTGTGGTTTGGGGTGTTATCAGTAAGAAAGGGCTCACAGGGCAGGCCCCTGCTGTGACTACACCTCACTTGGTGGTGCCCCATCCCTGGCAGAGGCCATAGGTGGACAGCCCCTGGGTAAAAGGTGCTGGGCATTACTCCTGGATGACTTTTTGGGCTCCTGGAGGGCAGGGGTGGAGACAGTCTTGAGGGTTTCTGATTCTGCCTTCTGGTTGTAAACTGTGGGTGTCCTTGACCTTTCGGGCACAGCTTTTCTCATTGGCTGCTTCGGCTTCCACCTTGAACTTTCGTTGGGTTTCTCCCACTGTTGGCTTGGAATGAAGGCTTAGCCCTGCCAGGCCCATATGTTTTCACTATGCTTGTTGTCAGAGAGAATGGAACACAACCCGGATGATCGAATTCCATTTTCATAGCAGATTGTATTCAAGCGTGTGGGTTCATTTTCATATGCAGATGTTAAAGGGTCTGTCTTGAGGACCCTGAAGTTCAGGAGCCCTGGTAGCACAGTGGTTCTGTGTTGGGCTGCTGACTGCAGGGTCGGCAGTTCGAGATCCCCAGCCACTCTCCCATAAAGATATACGGCCTTGGAAACTGTACCCTGCCCTATAGGGCCATTCTGAATCGGCATTGACTCAGTGACAGTGAGTTTGGTTTGTGGAGTCTGGTTCTGGGATCAAAGGTGGTCTGGATTTCCAGTGGGTCTCCACTTATTACCCGAGTCAAAGCCTTCCTGAACCCCCGTGCCCATCTGTTAAAATGACCTGGCACCGTCCCCTCTCTCTGGTATAGGGGTGTGATTAGGAAGAAAATAATACACACGAAAGCCCTTTGTAAATGGGCACACATTGACTAGATAATAAAGGGTCATAATTAGTGTAATTAATAGTGATAATAATTGGATGTGTCAAAAGGGCATTCAGGTCAGGATATCCCCGTCCAAGGGTGACGCTGTGGGTTTTCCAACAACCATTTTTCCTCCTGAGGTTTTCTTGCGTGGACTCTCGGGCCTCCCCATGCAGACTCCGGCCCATCTTTCCCGGTATGGGGCCAGTTGCGGGGGTGTAGGGAGCCCATCTCCCTCATCTCTGGCATTCTCCCCGCCCCGCGCATGCGCACGCCCCGCAGAGTGCCCAGCACGTGGGTTCCACAGTCAATGAATGGAGCCGGCAGCCCAGGCCCGCCGAGGCTCCCTCTTCATCAGGCTGCTGGAGAGCAGGCTTGGCAGCCGAGTGCCCCAGGACTGGCCTGGCTTCCAGGGTGGTGTTTACCGCCTTCGTGCCCTCAAAGGAGCCTCGCTTTTAATGACTTGTTTGTGCCCTCACTGATTTGGTGTCAGGTTTAATATAAATAGTTGGGACGGAAGGGCAGGAATTATCCTCAGAGGGAAGGACTCTGGGTTGAGTGGTGGAGTGGGAGGCCGCAGCTTTTGATGGTCTCTATAAATAACCCCGGGGCAGAAGCAACCTGTCGGAGGTGCACGTGGCAGAGAGCAACACACACACACACACACACACACACACACACACACACACACCCCAGTGTGTGCTGGCGGAGTTGTGGGCTGAGCGTTTATTTTGGGAAGGAGGATCCAGCATGGGGACACAAGCCTTGCCGTGCCCCGGTGCCTCTGTGTGTGCTCCTCCCTGCCCAAGGCCACCCTCTGTGGCCCTCCCTGCCCCCCAGCCCTGCTCAGGCCTGACAAAGTTGGGCCCCCGCAGACGGCCCTTGGGGGGGCTCCACGCACTCTTTGCCCTCCCTGAGAACTCCCCCGGAGGCCCGTTAGTCCTGGAACTGCCCCTCCCCCCCAAGTCCCCATGTTTGGAATCCAGCTTGGCTTCAGCTCTCGAAGACCATGGCACCTTGGGAACGATGTCGTGGGTGTGGGAGCCCACAATTAGAGGCTGGGCCCGGGGTGAGCGTGGCTGGTCAAAGTTCACCTGTTTCCCAAAGCCCCAGATGCTGTTGGAGGACTGGCCAGGCCCCCTCAGGCCTCACCTCCAAAGAGCACATTCTCGCCTTGCCCAGGACGGTGGGAGGGAGTTGGCAGAGGCCTCTTGCCAAGCTCCGCCTCGGCAGGCAGCCAGTGTTTTTGAAGTTGTGCTCTTTGGAGGGGACCATGCAGTCAGATGGTACCCCCTTTGCCTTGGGAGAGTGTAGGGGCCCCTGTGTCAGTCAAGAGAAGAGAGGAGCAGAGACTGGGGGACCCCCACCCACAGCACCCTTCCATTCAGTGTACGGGAACTTGGCTACCTAGGTTTGGGCACTGTGTACTGTCTGAAGTTGGGAGCTAGTCTGTGGGTGCCTGCCCAGAGCAAAATCTGGACCACAGGCCCAAGCGCCCCCTAGAAAGTTAAGAGATTTGCTGTCCCCTTCCGCCTTGCTGAAGGGATATTGAAGCATCTGGTACAGGCACCGTCCCAAGGTCAAGTCCTCCCCGCCCCGCCTCAAGTAACCCCAGGAAAGCAGCTCCATTCGTGTTCTTCAAATGATGAAACCACGTGACCATTTCGTCCAGTTATGGGTCCTTCAAAACTGGTCCTTGAGGAGCCCTGGTGGCATCGTGGGTACACATTGGGTTGCTAATGAGATCATCAGTTCGAAACCACCAGCCAGCTCCAAGGGAGGAACATGACGCTCTCTCCTCCTGTAAAGAGAGAGTCTTGGAAACCCGCAGGGCTGCTGCTCCCTTGTCCTGTAGGTTCACTGTGAGTTGGAATCGACTCTGTTGCAGTGAGAGGCTCTGCTGCAGAAACCAATCACAATTATATTTCAAATACGAAGGGTGCTCACCAAACCGGTCCCTGCCCTCTCTCCCCACAAGCTGGCCTCCCTTCCCCACGCCATCATGGTAGGCTTGTGGGAAAATCCAGATAACTTGACTGCCATCCCCGGCGGCGTTCAGAGCAGGAGATTCCGTTTGCAGACCGGCCACGCAGTACTGGTCTGTTTTGGAAGGGAAGGGTAGGTGTTGGGATCCGAGTGCTGTGTGCAGCCTCTCCTGGGTTTGAGCTTGGCATCTCTGGTTGGGGACGAAGGCATTTCTACTGAGTCCTTGTCTCCTGGGAAGCCCGGCAGCATAGCTCTCAGGGCTAGGATGTTGTTCCTAGGTCACCCAGATCACCACTCTGAGATGTCTGTGTGCTATTTGAGGCTGGATTCGCATTCTCAATCCCAGACTCTCTTATCTCTTGAAACAGCTTTTCAGTGCCTTGCCTGGGGGTCTAGGGGGATAGTGGTTGGACTGCGAGCCATGTGGTTGACAGTTCAAAACCACCAGCAGCTCCTTGGAAGAAAGACTGGGCTTTCTACTCCCGTAAACAGTTACAGTCTCAGAAACTCAAAGGGGAGTGAGTTCCCTGTGAGTCAGCATCGACTCTGTGGCTAGGAGTTTCTGTGGAGGCGGGCAGGCCTAGGTCTTTTAAGGAGATTCCGCAAAGCACCGAGGCCTTGACAGGTGTCATAAATGCTTTCAGTGCTGGGAAGACACTGGAGAAGACAGATCTGTTCCCTTATGGAGCTCATAAGTCTGTGGCTACACAGGACAGGCATTCAGGCTGTCAACACACACTCAGTACATACCGTGACGAGGCGAAGATGCTGGGTTTTGAGCGTGGAGAGAAGAGGGGGCTCTGTTCCTGTTGGTGTTTTGGGTTGTCAGTCTTCGAGTGACTTTTCAAATTGTGGGGCTTTGTAGGTTCCTTGAGGAGATGGTAGACCTTCATGTGGGGTGGCTGTGTGTAAATTACTGATTTCTCAGATGGATACCTGTAGTCCAGGGTGGCTGTAGGTTGCCCCTGGTCTCCTAACTGGTCACAGGAAGCCAGCCCCTGCTCTTGGCCTCGTGGCCATTGGTCCCTATCGAGAGTCTGCGGAGCTCACTTGTCTGTATCTTTCTTGAGGTCGGAAGGGGCCCGAAAGAAGTCAAGTGCTTGCCCACTGTGCTGTGAAGCAGCAGCCCGGATACCTGGGAACTCGAGCTGTTTTAGAGACTTGGGTGATTCCATAACCCGCCCACATCCACTCCATGGTCCACCCCCGTCACGTAAAAGCACTTTCTGACATTTCAAGCCCATTTCGTCTTCTTATAGTGTTCCCAAACCGAGGAAAGCCTCCTCCCCGGGAGTTGCCCTGATCAGCTAGGAGACTGTCGCTGTTCCCACTACTCCTATCTGTCCTTGGTGTCAGGGCTCCTAGATGGAGGGCCTAGAGACCAGTTCTCAAACACAGGTGATCTTACCATGCCCGTTCAATCCTCCCCCAAATCCCCGGGAGGTGGTGAGGCTTCTCACTATCGACAGACACCAGGGCAGGGCAGGAGAGGCTAAGTGACTGCCCAAGGCCCCTTGGTTAAAGGTGTTTGACACGCATGGGCTCCTGTGAGACACCCTTGGTCGCTTCTTGGACCATTGCCCATAGCGTTCTCCAACCCTCAGCCCCAAACCAAACTGCCATCGAGTCGCTTCTGATGCATAGTGACCCTACAGGGCAGGGTAGAACTGTCCTTATGAGTTTCCAAGACTCATTTTTTTTACCGGAGCAAAAAGCCTCATCTTTCTCCCAAGGAGTAGCTGGTGGTTTCGAACTGCTGGCCTTGCAGTTAGCAGCCCAATGTATAACCTATGACGCCACCAGGGCTCTGGCATTCTCCATCTGGCTGTGTCGGAGTTTCCGCACCTCGTGCAGTAGGACAGAGTGCAGGTCCCTTCTGTGGTTGAGTTGTAGGGGTTGAGGGACTGTGGGGCCGTCTGGCCCAGTAACGAGTGGGTGGTATCCCAGCAAGGCTCGCGGCCTCAGGGGCTTCAGTGGTGAGGCTGAGAGGAGATGATTAGGCAGTGGATGCTCTGTGAGCTGCTGTGTGCCACACTGGGCTGGGTGCTGGGTGTGTGGTAGTGAAGATAACAAAGACCCTGCCCCATTTGCCACATGCCCACTTTGGAATGTGCCCAGCACATAGTAAGTGCTCCGTCAGTGGTAGCTCTTGGTTGTTAGTAGCACTTCTGAACCACAGGGGGAGGAGCCCTGGTGTTATACAGCATGTTATACATGCTGGGCTGCTAACCTCAAGGCCTGAAGTTCGAAACCCCCAGCTGCTCCATGGTTAGGTTTATATAGTCTTGGCTGTTTTGCTCTGACCTGTAGGGTCACCGAGTTGGAACTGACTCGATGGCAGCGAGTTTGGAGTTGCAGCTGAAGGGACGGGATTTAGATCATGGCTAGGTGCATTCTGGTTCTGAAATGTTACAGCTCTGGTAAGGGTACTTCAGGTTTGTATTCCCCATCTGGGGTACAACCTGTTCAAAGACCCAGGGTGGCCTCCTCTGCCTCCTCTCATCCCCACTTCCTCCCCCATCCAACCTGGGCCCATTGCTCTTTCTCTGTAAGCTCCCCTCACCCAGCTGGCCAGACACCCCTCTTTCTTTCCTAACCTGGTGTGTTAGTCCAGGTTGGCAAGAGAAACGAATCCAGTGACATGTATGTGTAAGAGAGCTTTATATCAAAGAGTACTGTATATATACCTACATAAGCTGAGTTTTTCGGCACATTTTAAATGCAGTTTTTGTGGTAAAATTAGGTGCCTCGGCTGGTAGTCGGGTGGGCTTAACTCTGAGTATGTGCGGTAATTGTATATTAAGAAAAGATCCCAGCCCTGTCCAGTTCTAGTCCTTTGTCTGATATTAGCCCATATATGTTCCATCCCAGCCCATAAATTCCTCTTCAGACGCACATAACATATGCAATGATGCTGAATGCAGAAAGATCACAGGCCAATAAGTGGAAAGTCTAGTGGATCCAGTGGCTCTGGAAAAATCTCAGCATTGTTGTGGGTCTCCACATGGCTCCTCCAGCTCCAGGGCACTGGCTCCATCAACATAGCTCCCTGTGGATTGTCAGCAGGAATGTGTATAGCAGTGTGTGTGTCTGGCCTCCAGTGACCTATTTAGCTATGTTGTGCCTCCAAATGATGGCTTCCCCAGGTGCTGAAGTGTGGGAATGCCCGCCAGGCCCAGGGCCCAGGGGCAGGGTTCCTGCCCTCCTGCATCTTGGGCACACCCCTTCTCCCAGGCAGTGTGTGGTCCTGGCTCCTTTGCAGGTGGCTGGCTCTGAGTTGTGACTGAAGTCTGATCAGTGGGGGTGATTCAATGAGGTCACCTGGCTGTCACTGCGTTTCCACCAGCTTACTCTCCCAGAGCAGAGCAGTCTGTTCCGGAGTGTGAGTGCCTATTTAGAACTTTGTAGGGTGCTCTGGAAGGAGCCTTGATGGTGTGGTGGTTCTGTGTTGGGCTACTAACCACAAGGATAGCAGTTGGAACCCACCAGCCGCTTTGGGGGAGATCTCTGAGGCTTTTGACTCCGGTAAATAGCTGCAGTCTTGGAAACCCACGGGGCAGTTCCGCCCTGTCCTATGAGGTTGCTTGTGTGCTCTCGTGGTATAGTGGTCCCATGTTGGGGGTTACGAGCCACAGCGTCAGCAGTGGGACACCACCAGCAGCTCCTTGGAGGAAAGAATTGGCTCTCTACACCTGCAGAGAGCAGCATCCTCGGAAACCCCCAAGGGCAGTCCTACCCTGTCCTACAGGGTTGCCATGCGTCAGAATCCTCTCCATGGCAGTGAGTTTGATTTCTTTGGGGAGTGCCCTGGGGTGCTGCTGTGACCCTGGTGGGCTCTGCTTTTGGGAACTGAGGAACCCAACCTGCTCTCTCCTCACCCTTTGCACCCTCCCTTTCTGCCTCCGATGAGCCCCCCCCCCCACGCCCCCGAGCTGGGCATCAGGTTGGCATTGAGCACAGATGGTAGGTTGGCGTGTCCTGGGGTCACCCCATTAACTCGGGTTACTGGGGAGGCTCTGTGACCACATGGCCCTCCCTCGTCCCGCAGGTCCTTCAAGAGGAGCGATCCCATTAACCCGTACCACGTCACGTCCGGCTACGGCTTTGCCCCCGCCACCAGCGCCAACGACAGCGAGATCTCCAGCGATGCGCTCACAGACGACTCCGTGTCCGTGACGGACAGCAGCGTGTGAGTATGCCCAGTCCCCGCGCTGCCTGGGGCGCCATCAGCCATCGCACCTGGCTCTGCACTTCCCAGCTGTCTGTGTTGTGCGGGTGGGGTGGTGCGAGGGAGTAGCCTGGCGCTGTGTTCCAGGGACAGCCTGTGCAGAAGGGAAGAACCCTTCTGCTTCAGGTATGAGGTTCAGATGAGTCCCTCGAGCCCCGGAGTGAAAGACAGACAAATGTGTTGTTGGTGGGTTTTGCATGCTTTCCTTGTGGCCAGAATTCCTTGGCTTGTGCTGAACCCAGATAATCCCATCTGTGCAGAAGCAACAGGTAGGCAGCAGCATGGCAGGAGCCAGGTTTTCCTTTAGGAGCTGATGCATTCTGGAGAACTGGCACATGGAAGGTGTAGGGGGCAGGAAGCTAGGTAGGGGGAAGCGGGGGTCGTATGGCGTGATGTTGCCATACGGATACCGTAGACATGGCCTCATTCAGTCCTCGTTGGTGGGCCCCCGACTGCGTCAGGCACCGGGGACCCAAAGTAGGGCCTCTTTCCTCTGCTCACGCTTGCTGACACACCTCTGCCTGGAAGTGTCTGCTCTCGGGTCTGCTGCAGATGGATGGCTTTGAGTTTTGAGTCTGAGTCACTGGGGTGGGGTCCTCTCTGGCATATGGCCTGCTGTCCCCTTCCCTCGCCATCCTTGAAGAGTGTTTCTGGACAGCTGGTGTTGGCCCTGGGCGAAACTCAGCCAGGGCTTCTCACACACCCGCGAGCCGAGAACCACAGTAGGAGAAGTGGTCTTTGAAGGTTTGAGAGTCACGATTTCTTCTCCCATGGGCACCGTTTTGAAAGACAGGCTTTTTGGCCTCCTGTGAACCAAAAAGTCTTGGCATTCTTCTTTAGCACTTACTCCTTTTTCTTCTTCAGTCTGGACTGGACCGTCCATCCTTCCAGTTCGTTTGAAGTCCTCTAGTTTCTGTTGGCCAGTGTCCTGTTGCTCTATTGCTTGACTTGCGGCCTAGAGCCACTTGGAAGGAAACTCCATGAGGTTAGTTTGGGACTCTGCTCTCGCTTTTCCTGGTGACCTTCGTTGTGTTACCTCAGATTCCCTTCTGCAGGACGGTAGAGAGAGCCTGATGGTGAGAGGGTCAGTTTCCATGTGGCATTGGGCCCTAGAGATCCTGGGGTCCAGAGAGAGGAAGGTGCACATTGTTCAATGGGCACAGAGACACAAGGACTTCCCACAGATCCAAACCAAGACCAACTCATGTCTGCGAGTCCACACCATGGGACAGGGTAGAACCGGCCCTGTGTGTTTCCAAACTCTTCCCAGGAGCACCGCAGGGGGCTTTAAATCTGATTGAGCTCTTTGTAGCGTGTGCACATTGGACGTAGTTCCTAAAGTCAGGTGCGCTGCACCACCTTTATTAACAGCACCAGGCAAGGTTTCATGTGTCTTGGTGGCCCTGCCGGTGTTGTGGGTTATGCGCTGGACTAGGTCAGCAGTTCGAGCCCACTAGCTGCTACTCGGGAGACAGAGGAGGTCATCTGTTCCGGGAGAGATCAGAAAGCCTGGGAAAAGCCACAGGGGCATTTCTCCGCTGCCCTCTAGGGGCGCTGTGAGTCGGGCTTGACCCGATGGCAGCGAGTTGTCGTGCCAGGCGAGCTATGATGTATGTCTCCATGGTATAACAATGCAGATCCGTTTTATGTACAAGACTGGAGTGTTGTCCCTGAGGTGACAAGCTGGGGCTCCTGTCTCCGTGTGTTGGTGCCCCACCACCTTACAAGGAGCGCTTCTTCCTCCTTTGTGTCCCTTGTCTTCTCCTCCTCCCCCGGCTTCAAGCAGAACCGCTCCCTCAGCCTTTAGGGATGTAGGGACGTTGTCTTGGCAGTATGTGGCCCATCCGAGTGAGTCGGAGTTGAAAGAGGGCGTGGAGTGAAGCTCCTCAACGTAGCCTGCTTAGGACTGCTTGGTTTCTGGGGGCCTATGGTTGGCTTAGTGCCCTTGTTGGGCCAAGCCTTGGACCGCTGGCCACAAGGCCGGCGGTTCAAACCCACCAGCTGCCCCGAGGAGGAAAGATGAGGCTATCCTCCGGCCAAGATTCTTGGTCTTGGGAGACTCTAGGCAGCGTTGCTACGAGTCGGACGGGACTCTGGCCGTGGTTTCGGTATTGGCTTGTTTCCTGGCACCGGGCTGTACTTCATAGAGGGGTTGCTCTGAGCTCGTGATGCGAAAAATTGTGCAGAGGTCCCTCGTAGCCTCTTGGCATGTTTAGGTCTCCAGAGACCCAGTGAGGAAGGCAGGCAGGCAGGCTGGCCTCTGACCGACACTCACAAGTGAGGAAGCAAGGCACAGGGGCCCCAGAGAGAGCTGGCCGTGCCAGCGAGAAGGCAGATGCATGGTTAGAGGGGTTCACCCGTTCATTCTGCTTTAATGCTCAGAAGCCCGCCCCCCGCCCCCTGCTTCCTCCCTGGCATTGAAGGACTCTGGACTGCTGACATCCTGGGAAGGGACTTGGAAGGCTCACAGACGTTCCCTTTGCCAGCCAGCTGTTCTGGGGAGCCAGGGTGGGGTCGGACAGAAAAGGATAAGCCCCTCCCTCCCTGAGTGGTGTTCTCACCCTGGCTAGAAAGTGCCCCTTGCGTCCCCAGTGCAGTCCGAGCCTGGGCTTGTGGAGAGCTCCGGAAGTAGCTGCCTTGGGTGGGTGGCGACCAAGGGCCCGACTTGGGGACTCACTCCTGACCTGCTGCGCCCCCTCCTTCTCCCCGGTGCGCCATCCCCTTTCCTGGGAACTGTTGTGTAGGTCTGTGGGCCACGTGCTGCCTCTAGTGGAGGACCATAGAGGCTCGGGACGGAGGCTTGGCATGAGCTAGAAGCCCAGGGCCTGGCGTGGGATGCTCCCACTGGCCTCCCCTGGTGTGTGTGATCTGCCGGGGGTCGGACGGGTCACCTGGGACTCCCAGGGTTGGGATTAGACCCTCTGCTCGAAGCATTGCCAACTGGGCTTTGCACAGAGGAGCGCATGCACGGAGTGAGGAGGAAACTGTGGGGTGGGGGGAGTGGGGGGGATGAAAAGCCGCCTGAATCACTTTCAGCCCATTGTTCATCAGGGAAGCTTAGCAGGGATAAAGGGGTGGGGGCAGACCCCTTTGAAATGTCCTTGAACAAGTGAATAGGTGCACCCCATAAAGCCTGAAAAGGCCCTGGCTGCTTCTCCTGGCACAATGGGCTGGGGTGGGGGCAGGGGCGGGGAGGAGCTGGGGAAGGGGCGAGGCTGAGGAGGGGGCGGGAGAGGAGGTCACAGGCGCCTTCAATAGACTCCAGAAGGTTTGAGTTCATTAGACACAAGCCCGGGGAAGCAGTTGTCTTGTGGGGCCTGTTGGCAGGGGAGGCCTGGGAGAAGTCAGGCTAGGACCGACCCGCCTTGCCTCTTGTTCCTCCCGAGGCCTGGATATGGACTGCCGGCACGGGGCTCCTAAGAGATCCACTCCGTCACCCAGAGCCCACAGCTGACTTGTGTCTCCGTGCTGAAGATGGCCCAGGGCTCGCTCCATTCTCCAAGTGGCAGGCCTCGGGGACGGTGTCCCCTGCGTGCTCCAAGGACATGGCCTTCTCATTTTGTGTTGTCAACGTCCAGGCTCCCAGTAAGGCCTTCAGCCCCAGTCCCGGGAGTGCTGGGGACTTAGGAGACCGCCAGGCGGTGAGACCACCAGAAGCAGCAGGCGTCCGGGCTGCCCACGTGGCTTGGCCAGGTTACAGGTGGCCAGAACTACAACAGCTTCGTCCGTGGTGCAGTGGACGGTCCCCCTCCTGCTCTCTGCCTAGGCGCTCTCTCCAACACTGGGTTTGACCGTGCGCACGTGTGTGAGAAAAACCCACGGAGCCACGTCTGGCCTGGCCTGTTGGATTGCCGTCAGTCGGAATGAGCTCAAGGGGCGGGAGCTGTTTGTTTGTTTTCTGTCTTATTTAAGGGTCTCCTTTGGACCCCAGGGAAGGCTTCTGAGGGAACTTGAAATGCCACTTTATCTTACAAACCAGGCTTTGGATGTCGGCGTGATCAGAGGCAGCAGCTATACCAAGGTGCTCATGTGCACGTGGGTCAGCGGTTTCAAAGCGCCCGCGCTGACCATGGCCCAGTCAAAGGGCCAAGCTGTTTGGCTTGACTTAAATGGCAGCTAAGAGGAGTCCGCACTTCAAAACCTGAGCTCCCTGGCACCAGCTGGGCCAGCAGCAGCGGGGCTTGTTAGCTAAAAATGATTGTAAGGAAAGGAGGGAGGGAGGGCATGCATGTGTGCGTAGGGGGTGCTGATGCCCTCCATCCCCTCTGTTTTGGGGTGCTGGAATAGTGATCTTCAGCTGGGGGAGCCCCCGCATTCGCGCCCCGCCCCCAGAGTGCAGGGTTGTTCTGGACAAAGATGCATGACTTGCCATGAAAGCCAAGCTTCCTCCAGGCACCTCTGTGAGTTCTGCTCTTGTGGCAGCTTCTCTGTCCCCGGAGCCTTTGTGGGCCCTGGCATCGTCGTAGCATGTTGAAGAGGGGTGCTTCCGAAACCACTGACCCCTTGCCTTCCATCTAGCAGGACCCTGCTGGACCCCTGGCCTCTGTCTGGGAGGGAAGAGAGGAGGAGAGAGCGGAAGCTCCTGGTGGGAACTCCAGGAGGGGATCTGGCAGGGAGCGGCAGTGGACTCTTCTGGGGCTCGAGAAGCCCCTGTCTGTTTCATGGTGGGGTCCACTGGGGACTTAACCCCTGCCCCCGCGATTTTCAAGCAGATACCTAAGGGAGAGCCCACCCACTCTCCTACAAGCCAGGAGAAGGGCGTGGACATTGTCTTGCAACCCCAGTTCGAGAACCCAGTCTTGGAAACCCCCACCCCACAAGGGACCTCAGGTGAGAGAGAGGGGGACTTTTGCTGTGCCTTGGGAACTATATGGTATGCCCCATAGCCAGAGTGCTGAGGTGTGGGGGGAGGACTTTCTACCACCATTCTTCAAACATCCCTTCTTGGAGTTAGGGACTCCTTGGGGCTTGGGAAGTGGCACCCCAAGTTCAGCAGGAAGCCTGTCTTCAGCTAGGCTGGGAGGGGTGTGGTGGAATGGGAGGGCAGTTTGAGACGAGGGTGGTGAGTGTCGGCTGATGGTGTAAATATGAGAGTTCTGGATTTGAATCCTGAGTCTAGCCTAAATCCTGACCCTAAGGCAAGTTCATGGGCACTACTGAGCATTGGTTAAATGTGATTGGTTATAAGGGTGTGCATGCAGGAGTCCCTGGTCTCATAGTGGTGACATGTCCGGTTGCTAACTGCATGTCAGCAGTTCAAAACCACCAGCTGCTCTACAGAAGAAAGGGGAGACTTTCTACTCCTGTAAAGAGTTACAGTCCAAAACTCACAGGGGCAGTTCCACGCTGCCCCCGGTCACCGTGCTTCACATCAACTTGGTGGTGGCTTTAACTGAGAGTGTATGTGAGAACACGGTGTGGTCATACCGTGAGCCCCAGGCTTGTGCTGCCCGCGCCCCAGTAAACGAACAAACAGCAACAAGCAAATGTCTCCATTTGATTATATTTCTAAGGCTGTCAGTCTAGTCTGTACAGGATCAGACAGCCTCGTCTATCTCCTGGAGAGTGGCCAGTGAGTTTGAACTCCCAACCTCAAGGTTAGTAGCCCTCTGCATATTCAACAGGACCATGAGAGTTCTTCAACCCACAGTAGGAACTCGGTCCCTGGGAAACTGTGGCTCCTATTGGAATTGCGTCTCGGGTGGGAGGGACTGGCTGCTGGCCTTGGAGCACCAATAGGGCCATTTTGTCCTGCAGTGGGTTAACCAATAAGCAGTGTTTTGATAAGTGAATGTCTCTGGGCTCAGCGTGTTGCCAGGACTTAGACTCTCTCTCTCTTTTTACCCGCAGCGGCTTTGGCATGTACCATACAATTTGGTAGTTCAATCATATCACGGAGGAGAATCGTACAATCATCACCACATCAGTTTTAGAGCATTCCACCCCCACGGTGGCAACGCCTTTAAAACGAGTCATGCAATCTCAGTTCATTCTGATGTTCCCTCCCGTCTTCATTGTTACGCCCCAAATCCCCTTTCCCTCCCTGGCGTCCGCCCCTGGGTTCCCTATATCCCCTTGTATCAGTTATTATCATTATGTCTCCTGCGCTTCACTGCTGGGAGACCCAACAGAAAGCAAAAAACAAAATTGAGCTAAGGTGATAAGGATAAATCATAACCGTAAAGAGACAAAAATACAAGTAATGCATAAGGGAAAAACCCCCGCCAACATTCAAAAAGTCATGGAAGAAATTTCTGTCACAGAACCAGTAAGAGATGCTTGCACCCTCAGAACAAATTCAGGGTGTGTAGGGTGGTTAACTGGCCAGGTGTTGAGTTCGATCCAGCAGAATCAGGATTACAATGATCTCTGCCTCCTAGTGAGGCTTTGGAGCCTCTTGTCTGTGGCAAGAACGAATTTGCCAGCAACTCACTTTGATTAGATACTCTGCAGATGGTCAGGACTTCGATTCTCTTATCTTACCTGTGACCAGGAGGCTTGCATCTTGGGCCAACTGGTCCATCTGAACCTGCCCCACAGGTGTTTGGTACACCTGCAATCCCTAGTCTGCCTGTTCTGCCAGAGCACCCAACGCTCCACATATGGCCCCTGCACCCCCTTAAGTAGCCTTGTCCTTCACGCTCTTCCCGAGAACCTAGTGGTAGCGTGTGTTTGGCTGCTAACCTTAAGGCCAGCAGTTCAAAGCCACCAGCTGCTCCGAGGGAGAAAGAGGAGGCTTTCTGCTCCCATAAAGAGTGACAGCCTTGGAAACCCACAGGGGCAGCTCTGCCCTGTCCTATGGGGTCGCTGTGAGTCGGAATTGACTGGAATGCTCCGGCCTCGGGAGTAGGGAGCTGGAGGACCATCAGTCACCCCTGGCTGCTGCCCGGCGTTTTTAGGCCCTGCTGGTTTTTGCTCACTTCCTCCCACCCTGCAGCCCGCTCATCTCCCACCCTGCGATGGAGAGAACATGGGGAGGGGCTGCCACAATCCCAGCACCTCATCCCAATATTTACAGCCTCTGAGTGTGATGCTTTGTGACCAAAATAGCTCTTCAAACTCTGAGGGTTTGTAAAGAAGAGGCCTCCGGGAGGGAGGGCAGAGCTGAGAAAATAATCACACCTTCGAGCGTGGCCACTGCAGGTCCCGCTTTCAGCTAAGACCAGGCTCAGTCTCCTGGCTCATTCACCTTGTATTACACGAGGGGACTGGGGCTCATCCCTCCATCAGGCCTCCGCCCGTGAGTGAGGACTGCAGGCACACCCTCACCCCACCCCACTTCTTTCTCCCCTCTCCTGCCAGGCATTTTGTCAGTGTGCTGACCACCTCCTTCCATCATACAGGGGGAGCTTGGGAAAGTTCACAAGTGGGATTAAAAGGCAACGAGTTTTCCCATAAATGTTCGGAAACGCCCTTCAAATTCCGCCCAGCAGTCCTGAAGCATCCGGCTGCTGAGCCAGGGCTGGGCAGCTCCGCAGGAGAAAGGGTGGGCAGCTCCGCAGGAGAAAGGCTGGGCAGCTCCGCAGGAGAAAGGGTGGGCAGCTCCGCAGGAGAAAGGCCTGGCCACCCCAATGCATCACGCAGAGTCGCCTTGGCTCGAAACCACAAACCACAGGCAAATGTACCGTAGTCTTTTTTATCTTTCATTGCTTAATTAAATACTTTTATTGGGGCCTCTTACATCTCTTATCACAATCCATACATTCATCCATTGTGTCAAGCACATCTGTGCATACATTGCCATCATCATTTTCAAAACATTTGCTTTCTACTTGAGCCCTTGATATCAATTCTTCATGTTCTTCCTTCCCTCCCTCTCGCTCCCTCATGAACCCTTAATATGTTATAGATTATTATTTTCATATCTTACATTGTCCTCTGTCACCCTTGGCCATGTCCCTGGGAGGTGGTTAAACGTTGCTCCTGTCACCGATTCCCGCTCCCCTCCCCCCCCTTCCCCTTATCCCTCTGGTCTCTATTCTCAGTGTTGGTCCTGAGGGGTTTTATCTATCCTGGATTCCCTGTGTTTCAGGCTGTTATCTGTAGCAGGTACCGTAGTCTTATCTGCCTAAGCCGGTGGCATCTCCTCTTAAGTGTCAGTGTCACTAGGATGTGCCCTTGGCCCTCTTCCCCTGGTGCCCTGTGCCTGGGGCAGCGGCACCACTCCTTAGGTCTGCAGGTGTATTGGACCGAATGCTGAAGGCAGTGGCCGCTATGTGATTGATTGGGCGAAGGGTGTGGGTGGAGACAAGAGACTGGCCACTTAGAGCAGGAACCGTGGGAAGAGCTTGGGGGCAGTTTGTGGGAGAACTGGTGACCTTCCTCTGCCCTGTGTTACAGTCCGATGTGGATTTGGGCCGGATCCTGACAACCACTCAGCGTGATACTCTTGGTAAGACAGTTTGGGGAAGTGGTTCAGTGATGGTAAGCTATTGGGAGAGGTTAAAAGGGCCTCAAGTCTCCTGTTGGGGGGACTTGTAAAATAGGGGATCTCTGATGGTGTTGTGGGTAAATTAAGCATTGGGTGCTAACCCCAAGGCCGGCAGTTCAAGCCCACCCGCCGCTCCTCTGGAGAAAGAGGAGGCTATCTGCCCCTGTCAAGCTTTATAGTCCAGAAACTCACTCACCCGACGGGTCAGTTTCACTCTGTCCTGTGGGGTCTCTGTGAGTTGGAATCGACTCGAAGGCAGCGTTAGGCCCCTGGGTCATCTGCACTTGGCTGCTAACCTGAAGGTTGGTGGTTCAAACCCACTGAGGAACAGATGCTGTGGAAGACGAGGTCTTGGCGATGTGCTTCTGTGTGTTCAAGGCCAGGAAACCCCGGGGAGCACATTTCCACGCTGCCTGTCCCGGGGCCGTCGCCAATGGGTAGCCAGTCGAGGGCAGGGGTGTTACTGGAGGGACAGCGACCTAATGTACAACCGAGCAAACCACACGTGGTCCTGTGCCTTCCTCTCAACTGTCCTTACGGGTCAGCCCACGGATGGCGTCACTGGGTCAGTCCTCCTCTGCGCGGCCTCCCTCTTTGCTGTGACCTCACTACTTCCCCAGGCGTGACGTCATTCTCCAGGGCCTGGTCTCTCCCGACAGCTTGTCCAAAGTACGAGGGGCAAAAGTCTCGCCATCCTTGCCTCGAAGGAGGGATTCTGGCTGTCCTTCTACCCAGATGTGACACTTCTTCTGGCCGTCGGGCACTTTGAAGATTCTTCCCGGCCCCATAATGCAAATGCATCCATTCTTCTTGCTGCCCTCCTTCGAGGGCGGGGCCTCGGTTTAACCCCTTCGCTTTGCTCTGTCTGGGAGCAGGGTAGAATCACGAGCTTTCCCTGCCGTGAGTTGGAGAGGGAGCCGTGCTTCCGGGAGGAGTGTGGTCGAGCGGCTTGCCCGGGGCTCCAACCCCAAGCAGCCGAGTGAGCACGGGGGTCCTCTCTTCCGCAGAGATGGGATCCCTCCGTATCGCGTGGGCAGCAAGAAGCAGCTCCAGAGAGAGATGCATCGCAGTGTGAAGGCCAACGGTCAAGTGTCTCTACCTCATTTCCCGGTGAGTGACCTGGGAGGCGGAAGTTGCGGGTGGGCCCCCAGGAGGTAGGTCTCCCAGGGAAAGGCTGGGAAGCAGGTGGGGGTGGCCGGTTGGAGCATGGAGTTGTTGGGCAGAGTGGGGTGCGGGATGGCCTGTTTGACCTTGAGGAGTTCAAAAAGGGAAGTGTTCTATGAGAAGGAAATTTAGGTACTTCCCCCCTGGAAACTAGGAAACCAGGCATGGTCAGCTCCATATTGCTCATGTCTGTGAAGACAGTGTTTTCAGCGATGCTCAGTGAATACTGGCTGGCCGAATGAGTGAATGAGGCTAGAAGTTCAGGCCTCAGGATATCTGCTTCCTGGCATCTACTGCCCGGCTGGGTCCCTTCAGCCATCCACGGACCCATTTCCTTGACACCATTTCTGTGCTGACCCTGGAGGGCAGGTACTTCGTCTTGTCCGTTTCCAACACCAGCACTTGGGAAGTGTGGAAAACTGGGGTCACGTGGTTGAGAAGAAAGGCCTGCCTTCTTGGGAGGCTCTGGGGTGGCCCTTGTTGCCTCCAGGTCCTCGGAAGCTGGTGGCACCTCGGGGTTTCCTGGCAAGACTCCCATTCCTGGAGCTCCATTCTCACCCCAGCCTGAGATCCGGGGTGCCAGGAAGCGGGAGGAGGGCACCCCGTTGAAAGCAGGCAGCTCTGCTGATGGGTGCTGCCTGCCAGCTGCAGGGAGCCCAACGGATCTGTCCAGTGTGCAGAAAGTTAGCACGCCCCCATCCGGAAGACCATGTGGCATTGGGTTGGGGGCACGTGGCCACGGCGAGCCCTCAAAGCCCCCTGCCACAACCAAGGACAGGCTCCCTTCTGAGTTATTTATTTTTGAATCGAGGAAGGCGAAGATTGCTCTTCTGCCTTGCCCTCAACGCCCCCCCGCCCCCTCCAGCTGGCCAGTCTTGATCTAGTTTTAGTAGGGTTCGTTGTTTTGATGCGTCGGTTTGTGAGTGTGTGTGTGTTTTCACTTTGTCCCAGAGCCTTGATCAGCAGCCTATAGCTGTGAAGCCCCCCACCCCCCGCTCTGGTCCCCTTATAGACCGCTGTCCACTGAATGGGGGCCTGGCCAGTGTCCAGGCAGGGTGATTTTGCAGCTTGGCCTTCTGCCCCAGCAGCCCCCACCCCAAGAGCATGGCCCAGGGAGAGAGGGATCCAAGGAAGGGGGAGATGACAAGCAAGGACGTCGTGGAGGCAGGCGGGCAGCAGGCTGGTGCCGCTTTACATTCCGAGCTTGGCTTGGAGTCGCCCGCTCTCCTTGCCGGCAGGGCCGCAGGCTGCTGCGCGAGCACGCGGGTGCACAGCGGTGCTCCGCTCCTAGCCCGCAGCAGCCTTCTGCATTTCTGTACAAAGGGACAGGAGGGGGCGGCGGGGAGCCGGCGAGATCTAGGCTGCTGTTGAGACAACACCACCTCAAAGGTGCGCAGTGTGCGGCCAGGAAATAAATTACCGCATCTCCTCTGATCCGCCACCCCCACCCCCTTTCCTCTTCCTGCCCCCCACCTCCCTTCCAATCTCACTTTAAAAAAATTTCCAACTCCCTTTCTGTTCAGACTCGACTCTCCACGCCTTGCCTTGCTCCTGCTCCCCTCCCCACTCGGAGAGCTGCCTCCTCCACCCCACCCCCCCAGCCCCCTGCCACCCCTTCCTTTTTATTTTATTTTTTTGATGTTTGACAACAGCCTTTGAAGATTTTCGTCTTCAGAGTAGCTACTGATGGGCCGGTTGTACTACAGAGAGAACAAGCCAGGCCTCTCGGAGAGCGACCAACTGCCCCTGCCCACGGCAAACGCTGGTGGGGACCATGGCTCGCCATGAGGCTGCCGAGCCACTGCATAAAAGTCCCGAGCAGCCCTGGCTGCCTCTCCAGCTGACTGCCAGCCGATCCCGGGGCTGGGGCCGGTGGCACGGGGCCGGGAAGCTTCGGTGAAGCCTCTGTGTGCCGGCCCGCTGACCATGGCCCGCCCGCTCCTCTCCTGTGCCCTGTAGAGAACCCACCGCCTGCCCAAGGAGATGACCCCCGTGGACCCCGCCACCTTTGCGGCTGAGCTGATCGCCCGGCTGGAGAGGCTGAAGCTGGAGCTGGAGAGCCGCCACAGCCTGGAGGAGCGGCTGCAGCAGATCCAGGAGGTGCCGCTGGCCGCCCCTGCCGCCCCCACCCTGGGGACGGGGGTGGGAGGGTGCAGACAGCCTAGTGCAGGCGCGGGGGACGGACTTGTGTGGGGGTCCCCACGTGCTCACTGCACGCTCGCTCGCTTCCCCTCCCAGGATGACGAGAAGGAGGGGCCGGAGCCGACGCTGAGCTCGAGGGAGGGAGGCCCCCCGCCGCACCCTCTGTCCCTCCTGCCCTCCGGCGGCTACGAGGAGGATCCACAGACTATTCTCGACGACCACCTGTCGAGGGTCCTCAAGACCCCAGGCTGCCAGTCACCGGGCATGGGCCACTACAGCCCCCGCTCCCGCTCCCCGGACCACCGCCACCACCACCAGCATCACTCCTCCTTCTCGGCCGGGGGCAAGCTGCCCGCCCCGCTGGCCAGCTGCCCCCTGCTGGTGGCCAAGGGCTTCATGGCCGTGGCCGCCAAGCAGACGACGAAGCATGTCCACCACCACTACGTCCACCACCATGCCGGCCCCAAGACCAAGGAGGAGATTGAGGCGGAGGCTGCCCAGCGGGTGCGCTGCCTGTGCGCGGGGGTTGCCGACTATTACTGCTACGCCCGGTGCAAGAGCCACCCCAAGGCGCCCGAGCCCATGGAGCCACTGGGGTGAGTGTCTGTAGCCCCCGCTGACCCCCTGTAGGTGCCCCCCAAGCCAGTGCCCCGTCAGATCTGAGGTGGGGGTCGGGACAAAGCCCAGAGCAGGGCAGATGGATAGGGGGGGCAGCAGGTGCACCCCCCAACCCCAACCAACACCCCCCCCCCCCCCCCAGTGCAAAGTGCCCCACTTGAGGCCCTGAGATTTAACAGCCTCTCTGGGTTGGTGTGGTTTTTGCATCCCCGCAGCAGCGGCAGCAGCAGCGGCACCTTGGCCAGGCGGAGTGGGAAAGGCACGGAGCTGGGCCAAGCCCTGCCCACCAGGGAAGGAGGGGCTCCAGGTGGGGCTGGGGCACCTCAGCTTCCCGGGGAGGAAGGAGCCAACTCGCAGGATGCCTGGCCCTGGATGCTGGAGAGCGAGCAGACCAAGCCCAAGCCCCAGCCCCATAGGTAAATGCCCGTCCCCGTCCGCAGCCCCCACAACCAGGCAGTAGGGAGGCGACGGGGGTGGCTATTTCTGCTATTTCTGCCAGCGGCCCAACACAAACACTGTTGGCTTGCTCTTGTGCCCTCTGAATGTTGGACGGAGCAGACCACCAGAATGTCAACTTTGGGCAGCTGCCCTCACTTGCTGTTTTTTCCCCCTCCCTCCCTCCTTCCCTGAGAGCAGAGCAGCAAAGCCCCTGTTGAAGTCACATTTTCCAGGGTTGCTGACCCAACACCTCTTTCCTTCTGCACCTCTCCGTTGCTTGTTCAGTGCCCCAAGCACAAAGAAGTCCTACCCTGGGGACTCCGCCCGAGCCGCCCCCAGCGAGCGAGCTGGCCGGCACCACCTGTGGGGGACCAGCAGTGGACATGCCCGAGCCACGCCCCGCGCCCACCCTCTCATCCAGGACCCTGCCGTGCCTTCCCTGGCCCCTCCCAACACCCTGGCACAGTTGGAGGAGGCTTGCCGCAGGCTGACAGAGGTGTCCAGGCCCTCGAAACAGCGGTAAGTGCCTGGGAGGCTCGGGTGTGGAAGTGGAAAACCCAGCCTGTTTAAAAGGGGACCAAACCAGAGCACCTGGCATGGAGTGGACTCTGACCTGCGGACAGCACTCGGGGGTGTCAGACACGACCTGGGCTCCCATCAGGTTTTCAGATGGCCAGTGTGTTTTTTTCCTGGAAGTCCATCCCCTGATCTTACTTTCCAGATGCCTCTGAATGGGCTTGAACCTCCAGCCTTATGGTTGGCAGCCGAGTTGCGTTCACTTTTGTACTGCTCCCTCTGGGGAAGGACTCCCCCTTCTTCCTAGGCCTTGAATCCTTGTAAGGGAAGGAGGTGTGGCCTGAGGGTCTCCCTTCCGGCCCCGCTACATGGTAGCTGGTCATCCTGCTCACCCCATTGGAGGGAAGCGGAGCCCTTCAAGCCAGTTTGCCTAGAAATAGACTAGCCCTTGCCAATTCCTCGCCGAGTTCTCTCCTGGCCCCGGTCACATCAGGCAGCTTAGTGCTCATCTGCAGAAGGCCACACCCACGGGAGCTGCTGGCTGCTGGGTGCCTCGCCGTGGATTAGGACGGCTGCCGGCTGTCTGTTGTTGGGTGCAGTCATTATAGATGCCTAGCACTACAGAGCTCTGCTATAAGTTTTACAGGTTCTAGCCCTGGTTACAGATTGGGCTGCTAACTGCAAGGTCATCGGTTCTCAACCACCACCCCTCTCCGCAGGAGAAAGATGAGGGTGAGGCTTTCTACCCTCGTAAAGCGTTGCAGTCTCAGAAACCCCGCCGGGGCAGTTCTACCTGCCCTGCAGGGTCACTGGGAGTCAGAACTGACTCGATGGTCCTGGGTTTAAGTTTTTTCTCATCTTTACCCGAAAAGAGCCACTGGAGGGAGGGGGTGTTTCCCAGCCCCTCACCTTGGTAGGTGTTTCCCTGTTGCACGACCAGACTGCCTTCAGGCCTTCCAGACGGGCCTGTCGACAGCAGACCCCTGTTGGGGCCCACCATGGGAGGAAGTCCAGACTCTGTCTTCAGGATCCCCAAAGAGCTATTTTATGTCTACCACCTGATTGCCTTGCGGGGTCGGGCTCACTGACACCGCCCCCACCCCCCACCCCACCCTGGCTGTGTCCTCAGGTGCTGTGCAGCAGGCCAGCAGAGAGACAGGAACCACTCGGCCTCTGGCCAGGCAGGCGCCACACCCTTCTCCACCCCGAGCCTGGTGCCTGAAGAGTGAGTATCCTTCCAGCTCTTCCGCAGAGCCCGTGCCCGCGTGCCCGCGCTTGGTGGTCTAGGCCCTGAGACCCCGGGGCTGTGTGTCTTCCTCAAACCCCTTGGGCTTCTCTGTCTGTAAGCCCACCCCTCAATGGTAACATGTGTGACAGAGAGCAGTAGCACCCGGGCGTTGCTGCCACAAATAAGAGTCGTTAAAGAACCGCACCCCAGAAGCCCTGGTGGCATAGTGGTTATGCCTCGGGCTGCTCATCACAAGGTCAGCGCTTCGAACCTACCAGCTGCTTCGAGGAAGAAAGAGGAGGCTTTCTACTCCGTAAAAAAGAGTTGTAGTCTCGGACACTCTCGGGGGCAGTTCTACCCTGCCTTATAGGATCGTTAGGGGTTGGGGTAGACTCGATGGCAGTGAGTTAATCAGAAAGCACGGGGTGCTAAGTCTCCCTCCTTAGCCACATGAACGCTCTTGGGGTCCCTGGACACACCCCAGCCTGTAGCTGGCGGGGGAAGCCATTAGCCGTGCAAACGGGCCGTGAGTGGGCCTGGAAAACATGCAGGGGACATGTTTTTTGCCCGGAGAAGAAGCGATTTCCTCTGTGTTGCCCGACAACACTCACAGGGCGGATGGAGGAGGAAGGCTGGCTTCCTTTAATTACAGGACGGGGCATTTAAACAGAAATCTGCAACCGAGATCTAAAATGGTCTGAATAATTAAAGTTTTCTTTCTGTGCCTCTTCGTCTTGTGCAATGAGCACTGTTTGAAGTCCTGACTAAGCCACCTCCCCGGACCCTTTAATTTTAACTGCTTGACCTTAAGTCTGCCAGCTGTCTTGGTCATCAACTCTTTACTTTTTATTTCTTAAGGCTCTCTTTAAAGATGTGAGCAAATGGGGCAGTGGAAGTAGCTGAGCTAACTGGTGGGCCTGGGCCCCTGAATTACAGGCACCTCAGGAGGAACTCTGGGCTTGGCCCCTCCTCATTCCCTGTGGGAGCCCAGCACCCCAGTGGTACTTGGTACTTGGGGGGCCCCTGTTTGGCGGTGGTGAGGGCGATGGTATCAAAGAGACCACTCAAACGGGGTCACTGTGCAGGAGACTGTGGGGTGGACTAGGTTGCCTGCCTGCAGGAGCGGCTGCCTCAGTTTCCCTCTGGAGATGTTGTTCGGGATGCCCTGCCCCTTGCTGCTTGCTGTGTAAGCGTAACCGCTGAGCCTGTCGCCTGTCACTTTTCCTTCCCAGTCACAAAGAGCCAAAGAAGCTGGCGGGCGTCCACCCCTTCCAGGCCAGCGAGCTGGTGGTCACGTACTTCTTCTGTGCGGAAGAGATCCCGTATAGAAGGATGCTGAAGGCCCAGAGCTTGACCCTGGGCCACTTCAAAGAGCAGCTTAGCAAAAAGGGCAGTTACAGGTAAGCGGTCCCTGGCTGCCCTGGCTGGGGGTGGGCTCCGGGCTGGAGGGCAGCTCCCTGGATCAGACCATACTCAGGAAGGGAAAGTGGGGGGTGGGACTCAGGGAGGACGTCAGGGCACTAAGAGGTAAGCTTCCCTGGCTGCCCTCTTCTCCGGAGTGTGCGGGCTCGGGGCCAGGGGCCCCCCTACCCCTGACTGTACCTGGGAAGAGTGACAGCAGCTTGGGGAGCATGTTGGAATGGGGTGAGGGATGTGCAGCCTCTCTGCTCAATCCTGCCCTCCTCTCCCCCCTGCCATAAACCGCAGCAGAGGCTGCTAGCCCGGGGGTTCCCGTGCACCCCTACACTGGGTAAATACTTTTTCCACCATGTGAGCGCTATTCTAAGGAAAGGAAATCGGTCTGCTTTATTAGAAGGCCGTGTTGTGGGAGGTCTACCTGGTGGTGCTCTGTGTTAGGCTTTGAGCTGCCAACCGAAAGGTCACTGGTTTGGACCCACCGGTGGGAGAAAAGTGAGGCTGTCTGTGCTCAGAAGGCCCCGTGCAGGGTTCCTGTGCGTCAGAGTGGACTCTCCTTGCCAGTGGATTGATTCTGGCGCTTGGGCTACCTGAAAGAGAGGGGTGTGTGTTTGAGAGAGAAGTGGACCAGGCCGACTGACTAGAAGGGAATGAGCCAGAAGCCCTGCTCTCCTGGCCAGGGCCTTGGAGCGGCTTAGCACCCTGATGGGCAGCGCCTCCTCGCTCAGCTTTTCTGCCTGAGGACTCGGCTGTGTTGCCCACGGGTCCTTTGGAGCCGAGGGGCTTTTCCCTGCCGGACCAAGGAGGGGCAGCAGCACGCGAGGGGAGCTGGGTGGAGTAAGGCTTGCCACTCCTCCAGCCCGGAGCTCCTCCTCCTTCCTCCCAGCAGAGTGCAGACACCCACCCTGGCTTGCAGAACCAGGAAGAACTAACCACCTGGGGCCCAGCCCTGACCAGTCGTCCTCTTTCCCTTGGGGACAGGTGATGCCGCCACATCAGTTCTTCCATGGCCCACCTGCCCCCTTCTCAGCAGCCTTTACCCCTTGGGAAAAACCTGGATTCTGCCCTGGTGTTATCTCGGCTGCAGGCTTGGGGCCACGGTGAAGCCAGTAGCATCTTCCCCCTCCCCCAAGAAAACCAAGCCCATTGCTGATGTTGAGTTGGTTCTGACTGGCGGCAGCCCCACGCCTGTGGTAGAACTGTCCCATGGGGTGTTTGGCTGTCGTCTTGATGGAAGCAGATTGCCAGGCCTTGCTTACTTGGAGCTGCCGAGTGGGTTTGCACGAGGTTGATGGTAGATGGGTGGCAGGCTGCTGGAGCCCTCTAGGGACCTTCATGGGTGCCCAGGGCACGCAGTCCAAGGGGGCACTCCCTCCCCGGCTCCTGCCCATGCAGAACAGCACCGAGACTGGAGGCCGCCATAAACTGCCCTGGCCTGGTTCCCCACTGGCCTGGCCTGGCCTGTGCAGAACCACAGCACCCCCCCAACAGGTGGCCGGCCGTGGCTGCCTCCAGAAGGGATTGCTGCAGACTGAGACAGACTCTTCCAAGGCCAGGTCTTCTGCAGCCTTCCCGCCGCTTCCATCTCTGGGTCTATTTGGGCCCAAAGCAGGGACTGGTGGAGGGAGGGCCTGGGCAGGGGTGCCTGGCCGGCTAGCAAGGTGTGGCACTGGGCCATTTGATACCTGGGCAGCGAGGCCCCGGCTGTCCGCTGCCTTCTGTTTTGAAGGGAGAGACATGAGGGTGCACAGCATGGCCTGGACTGTGAGTGGGGCCACAGGGGAGAAGGGCTGAGGGATTCTGGGCTTCCCCCTAAGACTCACTAATAGTGAGCTTGGCCTGCCATGTAAAGCACAAAGACTAATCAATGATCCCCCACCCCCAGATTCTCCTCTGACTGGCTCAGGCCGGGACCAGGGTCCCACCAGCCCCTTATCTCTGCTCTGTCTCAGAAGCTGGCATCAGGGTGCTAGGCTCGGCCTCTGAACGAAGGGTGGTGCTCAAACACACACCCCCCCAACCCCGACCAATGTACCACCCCCTCTCTGGTGGAGCTGGGGTGCCCGGGACTGAGTTGGGGAAAGGCAACATGGGAGGGGTACAACAGCCAGCCTTCTCTCTAGCCGCTTTTGATGCCAGAGGTCGGGCAGCGTGCTGCGTGGGAAACGCGTGGCCTTGGCAAAGCCGGTTTCTTGGAGAAAACCAGTGCAGAGCCTGGCGTTTGAGGTCCTGGGGGTGGGGCCTCTCCCCTCTCCAGAAAGGAGGTTGCTGTTATGTGAAAGGTCACTGTCTGTTCCAAGTTGCTGTAAAAGGCCACCTGGGTTAAGCGCCCCCCCAGTGGGCTGGAGGGGTTGCTCTGGGACATGGTGGTGGGGTTGGGCTTTGCACCTCGCATCTGGAAGCTGGCTGGCGGTGGTAGTGGTGGCGGTGGTCACCCTATCCCAGGCTCCCTGATCCATGGTACCCCTCCCCAAGTTTTCCCCATGCAGGGCACCCCATCCTGAGCAGCCCCTGCCTCCCCAAATAGGCAGCGCTCTCGCTACAGCCCCCCCTCCCCCGCCCCCCGGCACTGTGATGCTCCACTGGGGTGCTTTCCGCCCAGTCAGGAATGCTGAGACCAAAGTACCTTGACTAAACCCAGCTGTTTCGCTTTATTTAGCCTTATCTCCTTCGAAAGTATTTGGCTCACTTTCATTAGCAGGGGAAAATTGCCCTAACCAAAGGGAATTGATTTTGTTTTTTTCCTTTTTAAGAGCAAAGACAAAAACAAAACCCAAATATCTAACCCCGAGACACTCTTCAAAAAAAGTTTTTTTGAGCTTGGTCTTGCCCTGAGGGTGGGTGGGGCCCTTCCCCGTGTGGGTGGACCTGGCAGCTTATAGGAGTGCCTTGCACCCACCCGAGGGTCTCCCTGGCTGGGTCCGAGTGGAACAGGCTGAGGGCCTCGTGTCCTAGGGTGGCGTTGGGAGCGGGCCTGCCCCAGAGGACAGCAATGTCTCCGGGTGGCTGGTCATTTGTGCCTGTGCAATTAAAGTGCTTTAGACCAAAGGACGCTGGGGTGGAATCTCAGGAACCTCTAATCAAGGGGCATAATGGAAGGCCCTTCAGGCCTTGACCTTGGAGGGGTAGAAGGAGATGATGGAGGGAGGGGGAGGAGGGGGGTGCATGGGGCTGTCTGTAGGACCCTGGGCAGCAGGCCTGGGCTGGCCTGCCCCTGACGGTGGCACCAGAGGAGGCTGCCTGGCCCCTGGCCACACCAGAAACATCAGGAGGCCTGGACTGTGGGGTGGGGCAGATGAGAGTTGTCCCCCTACAGGCTGATCCACAAGCGCAAAGCTGGCTGAGCCCCTCCTCTGGGGTCCCTGGCCACGCAAGTAGATGGACTCATTCCTGGCACCCCCAGCCCCTCCTCCTGCTGCAGCTGCTGGTGGGGGCCCCATGTGACACAGTAGACCCGCCCCTTAGGCTTTCTGGGTGGAGGCTTTCTGGAAGCTGACCACCAGGTCTTTCTCCCTCAGGTCCCAGCCGAGTGCTTAACTGTTGCGCCACTACAGCAGGGCGCCCATCCTACTCCGGCAAACATGGAAAGAGACAGCTGTACCCCACAATATTTAACTTCCACAGTGCATCTGGTGGGTGGGGGTCCAGGGTTGCTCTCCTGCCCACACAGGCCTTCTGCTCCCATGCCATCTCGTATCAAACCAGGGTGCTGGTTCCCAGGCTCGCCTGGCTCTGATTCATGAGCTGTCTGTCCTCCAGGTTGGCTTGCTTCTCTGTTCGACGGAGCTTGCTGCTTTATCCACAACCCTCTCCTGGTTTCCCCCTCTCAGGTATTACTTCAAAAAAGCCAGCGACGAGTTTGCCTGCGGGGCTGTGTTTGAGGAGATCTGGGAGGACGACGCGGTGCTCCCCATGTACGAAGGGAGGATCCTGGGCAAGGTGGAGAGGATTGACTGAGCCCGTGGCGTCTGGCCATGGGGAAGAACCAGGGCCCATGGGACCCGCCCTGGACCGGCCCAGGCCACGGTGACAAAAACACTTTGAAGGAAATGTAAACCAATGAAGAAGAACAATTCTTGGGGAAGAGTTGGCCGCTAGACCTTTGGGACGGTGGGGGTGCGTGTGTGCGTGTGTG